AGTCTGACATGGTGCTGGCGCAGATTGGATGATGCTGGAACAGATTGGCAGTGCAAGGAATAGAAGTTCTTCTCCTGAGAATCCGATCCTTATAGCTATAACTCTGATGGGTGAATTTCTGTTTAGCTGTGTTGTGTTATTCGGATCTAGGAGGGAGCCTTCTATTTATATGCATCTCTCTAAGTGTCTTGCCCATCAAGAAACACTTAGAGATATCCTTCATGCTATAGGATTAATCCATTTCAATCCTTGTAGAACTAGGAACCCTTAAGCCTTCATTATCCTTATTGAACACTGTTTGAGGCTTGCCTAATCGAGATAGGTTTTGAGTTCCTAATAAACAATAAGTCTTTGTAATCCTAAGTTGATTAGAAGATTACTTTAGTAGGTTTAATGTAATAAACCTTCTTACAGGCTGATTATAGACTCAACAAGGATAAAATTGCTTTATACTTAAAGGCAAACCAGTTTCAGAATGCATAATGGTCGGACGTGACTACTAAAAGTTCCTTGAGAAGTTCATCAAATACATGAACTACACATCTAACGAGCATGATGTATAAATTCTAATATTATAATATGTGCCTAGTACTTCTGCCTTCAAAATACCATTTTGCTTATATAATACCATAAAGTTTCACTCATTATGTGGCTTAGAGAGTTCGACTTGCAGAGGATTTCACTTTGTTGGGGTCGACTATTAAATTGCCTAGATGGGGACCAAAGTACAGGACACAATTTGTTAAGATTCCGCAAAGCTTGAAAACTCCTTACTAGATTATACCATAAAATGCAACCTACGTAAGTCATTAAACAATACATAGCTCGTAATTTGAATTTCAATTAATAATGGTAAAGGTGTTTTGGTTTATTATCATTTGGTTTTTTGTGATCTAATAAACCATGTGGTTTTAATGTTGAAGTCCACATTGGAACATATATTATTGTTTCCATTTATAGGTCAAAACTGAAATTGTTTCAAGGATATTGCAAATGATTGGTGGGTTGACATCCTTACTTTATGACAAGTGTGAGGAAGCAAGTAACGAAATTTGGGCTTTGAGAAATGCAAAGGTCTGTGCCTAATATGGATGACTTACCTCATTAGCTTTGTTATTGGGAATTTTAATTGTAATTTTTGTTTATTGCAACAACAAGGTAGAGGTCGAGAATATCATAGTAATTCTCAACCCAACTATGGAGACGTAGAGATGAGCTCTCGTGTAAGTAGCAGTTTGAAAGATTCAAAATCATTCCAATAATTGCAGGATACACGAAATACAAACTAATATGGTTGTCATACTTGTTGGTTGCAGGAAGTATGGTCAAAAAACAAACACGATGGTTTCACTAGCAAACAAACATGATTTGGAATTGAAATGCTTGAGAAATTTAACTTTAATTGGAATGTTTGGAATTGTAACTTTAATTTTCTTCAGGTTGTGAATGCTTAAGAAGTTGAGGAGGTTGTGAATTTATTTATTTAGGTTGTGAATTATATTTTTGGGTTAAAGTATGCTTGAAATCAAAAGGCTCTAAAAGAAGTATTAAAATTAGGCCTAAAATGTGGAAGATTGGATTTTTATGACACAAATAGAACTTGCGGTTTTAAACCGCTAATTCACGGTAACCGATCGCTTTTTGTGGTTTCAAAAATCACCATACAACAAATAGTCGGTCTGTTTGTGATTTGGACAAAAATTCGCGGTTACCGAACCGCAACCACCCCTAACTGAAATACACAAATGCAATCCACAAAGGAGCAAGTGGTCTAGGGTTTAGGATTTATAAATTACCGACTTTTTATAAAATTTCCTCGACGTCCGTCACGACGTCGTTCCACTGCTGCCCCAAATGAGTTTTAACACTCAATTCAACCTTCAAACCCTAAGGGGTCGTTTGGTACGGCGGAGTGTCATGGACTGGACTAAATCTTGGGACTGTCTTGGATTGGACTAAGCTGGATTAAGTACTGACCTATGTTTGGTGCTACGTCGGACTAAGAAGCTGGATTGTAAAAATAATGAAGACCTATGTTTGATGTTGTGTTGGACTAAAAAATAATTATTGTAATATTTAAATTTAATTGAATATTTTCACTTAAAAAAATATTTAAATTTAATTAGGGATATTTAATTGGGGTTGATGTGTGAATTTTTTATTATAAAAATTATTTAAAAAAATTAATTTTTGACTAAAAAAATAAAAAAAAACCATTGTCTCGTTCTTTCCTCTTCCTTCCTCTCTCTCCCTGGCTCTGCCTTTCTTTCCCATCTGTCTTCCTCTCTCTCTCTCGCTCTGCCTTTCTCCTTCTTTCTTCTCTCTTTTTACCTTTCTTTTTTTACAAATTTATAAATAAACCCAATCCTAGACATGTATTTATAAAAAAAACTCAAGCACTATTTAAACATAGAAACACACCCAAAATTAACCCCAAAGTCAACTTTTTTGGGTGTGTTTATAAATAAGTTTTGAGTGTGTATAATGATGGATTTTGGGTGTGTTTATATGTTTAAATAGTACTTGAATTTTTTTATAATTTCAACCCCCATTTTAGGTGTTTTAACTCCCTTCTTTTTTCCCCCTTTTCTTCTTCCAAGTTCACTTTTCTCTCCCTCTCTCTTCCCTTTCCTTTTTCATATTTTATTTCTTTCGTGCCGTTTCCCCTATCTCCCTCTCTCTCTTTGAGAAGGCATGAAAAGCAGAACAAGGTCACTGGAGCCCAACAAAAGCTTGGGACCAAAAACAGCCTGAGCCGCAAGACACAAAAGAAGGAGCAAACAAAGTTGGAAAGGTGGTAGGGATTCATCAACAAAATCATCTTAATTTTCTTCCTTTTCTCTCTTCTTCTTCCTATCTCTTGGCTTTCTCTTGTTTTTTTCCCTTCGTTTCTCCAAGTTTTTTTTCTCACGTTTCTCTCTTTTTCTTTGGTTTGGATCTACTAGGAATTGAGTTTTTGTGTTTATGGTTCCATCTTCATATGAAAACAAATAATTTATTTTTTTAGGGGAGACCGCCACTGTGTGGTTCCATTGGGTTTGAATTGATGGTGGTGGTTAGTCGAATTGATGGTGGTGGTTAGTCGACTTGGTGGTGGTTGATTTTCTCCCAGACGGTGCTGGTTTCAGCCTCGCTGTTCTGCGAGCTCGCTATTTTGCGAGCCGTATTTCAGCATCGTTGTATTGGGCCAGCGAGTGAGGGTTTTTTTTGGTACTGTTGGCTATATAATCTTATTTAAGTTGTCCCCCTTTGTTACCAAACATGGTTTTCAGGAGTTATTTAACCTAATCCCATATAGTGAGGCCTACCAAACACACCCTAAATCCCCAACCCCTAATCCTACCCAACCTTCACCCAAGCCGACGGAATTCTCTCTCTCTCTCTCTCTCTCTCCACTTTGTCTTGTACAAATACATGCGACCGAATTGGTGAAACTAACTGAAGAAACTTTGACAGCAGCAACAGCAGAAAATACGTCCTCTAATAATAATCGTTGTCTCTTTGCTGTTTAAAGGTCAGTCCCTTTGCTCTCTTTAGTGATCTTTCTGCAATTCATTTCTTTATTCTTCTTTGGGCCTTCTAATTTCTACAGTTCTTTGTTCCAAGGATCAAAATTTCTGTTCTTTTCATTATTATAATTGGACCAGTCTGATTTGGTGTTCATGTGTGATTAGTGGATTGATTGTTGCAATTTTGAGTTTTACTTACGTTATTTTCGGTTTTCGATTTGATGTTCATTAGTCATTTCAAGTTTGAGTTTGGTCATTGAGATTGTATGGTATGGACCTTTTTGTGCTCCACTATGAATCATCGTTTTGTTAATTAATATTTAAGATCTTTCTCTTCAAACTAAATGCTTTGCACTTCCACATTTCGCCCCTGACGCTAAAAATTCCTGGATCCACCACTGGTAGTGCATATCAAACATTGTCTTTACTGTACATTCATTCTTGACATACTGTAGACAAATATATTTAGTTTGGAATCCGGTTGGGAGGAAATTGTATTATATACCTTACTTAATTAAATTGGATTATATATATAGCTTTGTGAGACTCTGTTTCTTTCAGTTGATTGGTTTTACTTTTGTGAGGGTGCAGCATATGCATCATTTGCTTTTTCTTTAATCTGTTTTGTTTATAAAGTTTAAGACTGAAAGGATTATCTCTGCTGCAGTAGGGTAGAATTATGAGAGTGAAAAAGCAGAGGAGGCACAGGAAGATAGTGCGGTTCTACACAGCATGCTATGGGTTGAGACAGCCGTACAAGGTGCTATGTGATGTGAATTTTGTGCATCACCTCGTCGTCAATCGCATTACGCCTGCTGACAAGGCCCTCTCTAATATCCTGGGTGCCCCTGTCATGCTTTTCACCACCAAATGCGCTATCAGTGAGTTGAAAAAGCAAGATCTAAGGAATGTTCCTTCCCATTCTCAGGCTCTTGAAGCTGCAGAAAGCCTCATTACTGCAAGGTATGCCTCTCTTTTTCTTTCTTTGGATATTATTTCATTGTTTCTTACATGGAACTATGTTTATTTCTCAGGTGCGATCATGAGAGAGCCATGAGTGCTGATGATTGCATCATGGATATTATTGGGCAGAATAATCCCGAGCACTTCTTTGTTGCTACTCAGCATGCCGAACTTCGTGAGAAAATTCTCAAGGTTATTGACTCACTTTATTTCTTACCATTATTTTGGCAGTTGTCGTTGTTGGTGTTACTTTTTCCACGGTATATCAGTTGTTGCTCTCACATTTACCCTCATAAATGGCATCTTTGCGTTTGCTAAGCAATCTGGTTTGATGCGTATTACATTTGTCATATTGTATATCCTTAAGCATGTATCCATGGAGACATTTTTTCACTTGCAGATACCAGGTGTCCCTGCTATTTATGCTCTGAGAACCGCTCTTTTTCTTGAGTCCCCATCTTCCGCCCAACGGCAATTTGTCAAAACTTCTGAAGAACAACGCTTGCATATGACTGACTTGGAATATAAGATGTTGACAAAGGGGACAAATAATATGTCGACTTCTCATCAAGAAAAGGATCGCTCTGATGAAGATGGTTTTGGAGATCAGAACTTGGAAGTGCAGGCTGTAGCAAAGAAGCACACTGCTAGGAAAGGATTGGGTGTGAAGGATAAAGTTCAGTTTAAGAGAAAGAAGGCAAAGGTATTACCAAACTCATTTCTTTCATTTTCCTGTATATTTATTACGTACATTTTATTTTCTCTCCTTCTACATGTCTGCTTATACTTGATCTTATGTAAGGTGTTAGAGTTCACCCCATCTAACCTTTTTGATATGGACTGCACATAATATGAAGTAGAATGTTGGAAGGACATCTGTTGTGTTTATATGGATTATGAAAACTCTTAGAATTTTTAGTATACATGGATAGGCCTTGGTTTAGGTGCATCATGGATTGACATTAATATGATTTATTTCTATTACACCATTCTTTATGATGTGTATATGTTTCAACTCTATTCCCCATTTTGCTTACCAAGATATGTATCCCAGTTTTGGCTTGTTTAACTACATAATGCCCGTCTTATGTAGTTAAACAAGGCAAAAATGAGATATTTATATCAAGATATCATATTATGCAAGTAATCGCATGAAAAAATTATTTTTCACTAGGAAGATGCTTCGCCGGATCTACATAAAATTTGAATGCAATCTTATTCATGCACCTGATACTTGAAGGAAGATAATAATGTATGATCGTAGTTAGAAGCCAATTTTGCTGATTACCATGCAAGTCTACAATGTTCACCCAATTCTATCTTCCTCACTTTCTATGCATATATATTTTCTTAGATGGGGGACTAGACTCTAATGAATGCTACAAAAGTGAGTAGTGTTAAAGAACTAAGATAAAATAAGAACTGTTTAATCATACAGCCTGTAGTTTCCTTATTCAGTGATTAGTTATTCATTTCTTGTTCTGTATTCAAATTTATTTTGATAGCTCTTTTGTAATGGACAATGTTGAAATCAAAATCATTTGCAAGCCAGATGTTTCTGGGAATGTAATCATTTAGCTGATGTTCAGTGTGTTGACATATGTTATTTTTTTCAAGTTTGGGTGAAATTAAATAGAAATTGATTGGGATTAATACGTTGTCGATGCATACGCTAATACTGTTAGAAAATGGTTCCTTAAGATGCTGTTTCAATGTTTATGACTTTATTCTTTTTCTTCCACCTTGCAGGGTCCAAACCCCCTTTCGTGTAAGAAGAAAAAGACTTTGAAAAACCCAGATCTTCATTCAGTACAGGTGAGCTTGCAAATATTGTTTCGATGTCTCACTATCCTTCATGAAAATTGCATGCCTTTAACTTTTAGTACATGTGGCCCATGATGAAACTGATTGATATCTCACATTAGTTTACAAAGCTCTAAACTACAATGTAGAATCACCTGGAAATTCAATTTCAATTGAAGCATGGATAGAAACATTTTCTGATCTTTTGGGGAAGAGATAAGACATGATCACTTTCTCTTGCTTTGTGTGTCTTTTAATATTCTGAAGTTTCATGCAGGAAAGGAAGGATGGAGATGCTACTTTGAGGAGTCGTAAGAAGCGGAATAGGTCGCGGAAAAGCAAAAGGCCTGTCGAGGCAGATGGTTAATGTTCCTTGGCTAAAAGTTTTGAAATTTGGCTTTCATTGGATGACGGGTTGAATGAGCACGCTGTACTTTGGTCAATTTGGAGGGAGATGATTTTTTGGGTTATATTAGCTTATTTGTCTCCTTCAAAGTTGGGAGTCATTTTAAACTTATTCATGTTTCCTTCACAGCGAAAATGAAGGGAGCTCGCTCACACATGAAGCCATAGTTATAATTTACATTAAAAAAAAATCAAAAGCAAGTGTACCCTTTTTGTTTTTTAAATTATTATTTATTAAACAAAGTAGACTCAAAATAAGTGCCACAGTAGAGGGAAAATTAAAAAAAGGTGCCCTTGAAAAAACAGACGCAAGGAAAAATTCTACCTTTGAAAACGAAGCCTTCGGATATCCTTTACCTCTCAAGAATAATATCGTTGTCTTAGATTTCAATTAAAACCCGAAAATCTGCTTTCGTAATTAAACATTTGTAATACAAATGCATTGCTACAATTTCAGTTTGAAGAACAGAAGCGTATCCAATATGATAAGTGGAACTTGACATTTATTTTTGGCCTCGTCCTGGTAATATTTTTGGAAATCATTTTCGCATGACATTTTTAGAAAACAAAAATGAGAAAATGGAAATGCATTTTGGAAATTCAAGAATTTGGTAGTTAGTTTAAAAAAGAGTTTCAAAGAACAAAAATAATGAAAATACGTCTGCCAATAATTCGAGAAAATGATAAAATCAGTGAGTATGCCTTCAGCTTGACGATTTTAAATTCTGTTTTTGACATAATATTTTCATGAATATATATATATAATTTATAAATTATATATATATAAATAATAACAAAGCCTCATTTTCTATTATGCATTTAATGAACCAAACATATTTTCCTAAACTCAACTAGATAAAATTTGATAAGAAAAAATAGTAACAAGTAACCAAAACACAATTCTATGATCTATGTGTTCCTCCAAATTATCACATTAAAGACTAGCTAAAAAAGGGTATTCATAGTCATACAAATCTCTGGACAAAATATTACAAAAACAAAAAAAATATAATTAAGAGCCTTAGGTAAAATCACGCCACAAATCTGCTGCAATCTTATCTCTAGGGGTTGCAATCTGTGCAATGTTTCCTAAAGACATATCTATATTTGGTGTTGCCATAATTGAAACTCTTCAAACATCCTGTCACGAAATGCTTCCATTCTAATAAAATTTTGTAACACACAACATGCAATAGGGATATATCGTTGCCTTCCTGGACAATATTGTAATTAAAAACAAAGAATAATAGATAAATCAAAACAGTAAATTAAGACCAATATTCGAGTTCAGGGAAAACCAGTAATTAAACCCAAAAAATTTCAGGAGTAATAGAATTTCTCTATATAAAAAATTAGGAGTAGTAGATTCATGGTTGCGAGGTATTCCAAGGAGAAAAATAAGAACTAGTAATTTTCATTTTACTACGTTGAAGTTTACGGAGTTTCAGCTTTCGATACATCAAGTTTTTTTTGTCTCAATCGCATACATAACGTTTATTTTCGTATCACTTTCATACCTATGTTAGTTTGACCATCATGTTCTCATTTAAATAATGATGTAGCGATTAGTGTTGCTACGTAGACTCACCCATATGTTTCCATATGAACTAAATAATGTAAATATGTTTAATTAATTAATTAGAATAATAATTTTTTTTTAAGTGTGCTATGTTCCCACTCTTTTCTTAGCCTTCACTCTCCTGTGTGTGCTCACTCTTTCTCTCTTCTTCCTTTCCAATCTTCTTTCTTCTCCTTCTCCATCATCCTCGATTTACCAAAATGCCCTTCACTCTCCCCAAAATTCCATCCATGTCTTCGTAGCAGGCTTCCCCAGATCCCTCAACTACAGCCTCTGGGGCAAGTGCTGGGATTTTGAGCCCGATTCCTGGCTTGGTAGCGATACGGACCACGAAATCCCGAAGACCCATTTGCCCAAAAGCCTTGAACTTCTGCCATATCCTAATAATGCATTGATCAAACAGTACATTGTCGAGTACTATATTTAGGGGGACCTGATGAGCCATACGGAGCAGAGAACTAGGTTGCTTGCTTAGAAGGTTTTCAGTCTTGTCGAAGGGGACATAGTTTTCATGTTGCTTTTTGCGACTTTGAACGCAGAATTGCAGCTGACTACGGCTTAAGGAGCCTTGAGGAACAAGGCTAGGAATGATGACTATGGGAGGCATAGGCAAGTAGTTGACTTTGTGAAGAACACCAAGACTGGATCAACTTCAATTTCTTTCTGGCGTTGAGCCACATTACTTGGATTGGTAAGTTCACTTGGGTGTATACAATCAATTTTGCTGCCACATAACATGTAATTTCTCATGGGACACATTCATGGGCTCACCATTTTGACATGTGGTCACGGATTGTCTTCGAAGTTGAAACAAACGAGAACTATTATGAGTAACAATATAGGTTTTCTGAGCAACATCCCAGACATCACTAGCAGTATGACCCTTGAAGTTAGAAGATATCTTAATGAAGATGGAAGATGGAAGATGCAATCTGTGTGTTTTGAACTTGCAATATGGAATCTATGTTCTTGCACTTGCAATGTGTTTTGGAACTTATAAATCGTATTTTGCAAGATATGTTTTATGTTGTCTTGGAACTTCATGTACACACTTTGTTTTGGAAATTAATGGTTTGTACACATGTTTAGTTTGTTTTGGAACTTAATTTGTGTTCTTAATGGATAAGTGTAATCTTTGTTTTGCCTATTTTGGTTCAGCAAATGCTAGCAGAGAAGTTACACCAATTTACACCACTTCATAACATCATCAACACTGAATTACAAGGCTGAGAAGTTATATGATAAACTTCACTAAACAAACCTTCTAAAACACATTTCGTCATTCAAACATGCTTCATCACAACAAACATAAACAAGAAAAACAACACAACTACACATATTTTTCTTTATTTTTCTCGATTTTTTGCATTTTCCTTTTCCAATCTATCTATCTTTCTAAGCAACCCAAGTATCACCATCTTTGAATTTTCACAAATTTTAGGAGCAAACCACTCCCAAAAAACAAATCCTTTCTACCATCTTCCCTGCATTGATCCACACAAGATTTATCATTTCTTGCTGTCAAATAACCAAGCATGAAGCATCTTATTTTAGGACTCCTTCCTACCTTCGACTTTGGACAGACTAAATCTCCTTCCTGGGTTAGAATTAGTCCATGAAGTTTGAATCCTCCTTCCTGGGTTAGAATTAGTCCATGAAGTTTGAATCCTTGCCAACTTTCCATAATGACACTGATGCCTTCCTTTTCCAATCTCCATCTATTCTTCGAACTAGCACACCTTCAATATCAACCAATTAAACATGCGTAACTTCAATAGCAGAAGACCCAAATTTGCTCCCCTCGTCGTCAATTGATGCCAACCTTCAATTCCTAGGGCATTGAATTAGCGACATAGGGCAAAATTAGGGAAATATGGTCAACTTTTGCGGATATATAACCAAAGTGCTTGAAATGTTGTTGCTGACAAATATACCCACGTTTTTCTACCATGTGGCTACCGCATAAGCAAAGATAACAATTTATGTGAGGAAATGACGGAAGAGGGGAACGTAGGACACAAACATATCAATAACTAAGTCTTAATTTTATCTTCTATCTTCTTCTTTTGTTTTCAAATTTTGAAATTTTTTTGGTTAAAATATTCATAAAAGAAAATCATGATGGTATAAATGAAAATTAACTTAAGAAAAATTAAACACAAAAAAATCTTAAGAGTTGAATCATTCTTGAGGGAAAAAACTGTTTGAGTTTGGGTAATACATGAATAGTTGTATTTTATAGGGCGAAAATTTTAGTTTTGGAGATGGCAGCAAAAGTAAAATTCAAAATCTTAGGGGTGGATACTGAAAACCGAACTTCATTCCAATTGTTATCCCGCGTAGGCGTTGCAAATAAGCCAGTATTGCGGATAATAAAGTGGGAGTGTAGTGTGACACATTACACAACAGAGAGATTGCCACACCCGCTTTCTCTCTCTCTCTCTCTCTATCTCTCTCTCTAAATTTTCTGCAAAATTTGGGGATCTAACGATGAATCGGCACCACGACCCCAACCCATTTGACGAAGAAGTGGTCGAGGTCGAGGTCAATCCCTTTTCGGTAATTACAGCCAACACCTTTTCTCTTTCTCCATTTTAAACTGTTTTCTTCTTCTTCTTCTTCTTCCTGTTTAGATCTGCCCTCTATTTCAGTTGTAATTTGAATTCCTGGATGTTGGGTTTTTTTCGGATCTGGATCTGAACCCTAGGTTTTCAATATTCCGACACTAAAGCGAATGTTTTTATTTTTTATAAAAAATTTGGAAACAATTATATGTAACCTATAAAATTGAGTTGAGAATTTGAAATAACATGTGGATTTGCAGTCTTAATCTCTCAATGACAGTAGAAACAGAGCCAATGCTCGCTATGCAAGAGTCATTAGCTTAGAGTAAATTTAATATGTTGAAAATCAACTTAGAAAAAGAAGACATTTTTTCGAGTTAAAATGCTTAAGAAATCTTAAATGAGTTAGGTTTTTACTTCTGTTAATTTGAATAAACATTGAAAATTTAATCAGAAGTTGAAAAGTTATACCTCATTCACTTCAAAGTCAGCTTTGCGGAAAAAAAGAAGAAGGTGAATTTGGGATACATTTCTCAACATATTCATTAAAATTAAAAATTATACAATGTCCTGGTCAATTTGGAAGAGAGGTATAATGTACAGCTTAGCGATTGATGTTTGGTTTTGAAGCTTTCTAACACTTTCAGGCAGTAAGTTAATTAATTTTCAGTTAAAGAGTATTTTTTATTTTATGCTCTTGTTTTTTTCTTTTCTTTGAAAATTGTCGATCACTGAGTCCCCTTCCCCCTTTTACGAAATGTTGTCCTTTTACATTGTTCTGGACTTCTCATTCTACTGTTTTAGTCTATTTAATCTTTTGCATTTTTCCCATAATGTATTTATTTAATAACCTAGTTATGATTTTTATTATTGACCGCCAATCTCCCCACCTTAATATCAACATGTTAGTCTTCAAGAATCATAGATTTGTACATATTCTGAG